GTGCAATTCAAGGTGACTTCCCATAAGTTCACTCACTAGAAAACCCAAACCTTTTATCCCATTAGATTCGAAGCTGAATGTAACATCCCAAACCTTTTACCGATGAAGATATTGTTCGCTTTGGGCCTCGACCCTCACGGTTTTTTCTTGGGGTGCAATTCAAGGTGACTTCCCATAAGGTCACTCATCCTTGTTGTACTCCACACTGAGTACGTTTAACTTCGGAGTTCTCACAAGTACTCCTCCATTTCACCCTAAAACGCGTCTTGTCAGTTAATATCGGTTTCTTACTTATGAACCATGGATCTCTCACGTGCTTTATCGATGTGAAATTTGACTAAGGGGTTACATTGAAGGTCTCAAATTCAATTCTTTTATAATAGTATATAAAATTACAAGAAATAAATTTATATCACCCTCCTAAAAAAAACTATCATTTTATAAGTACACAATTTGGTTTAGTAGCGTGTAACCTTAACTCATCGTAAGCCCTGACGAAGCTGGTTTAAGAACTGGGCGTAACCACTGAATGGGCTTTTAATCGGCACGGTTTCCTCCATGGACTCGACCAAGAAAAATAGACAAACGGCCAAATAGCATGCAGCCCAGGCTTAGTTAAACATGGGCCGACAGTTCCCTTGGAGAGAGTCCAAATAAGTGAATCAACTAGCTCTCTAGTTGGGCCAAGCCTACAAAGCCACCGGGGGAAATCAAGAGTTTAGTGTCCACACCCTTTGTGGATATAGTCCAAAAGCTCAAACTAGAGGCTAGGAGTAGCAACCGGTTCGGTAAACCCGAACCGAACCGAAACTGAATTAAACCGAATCGAAATCGAATTAATGCTATTCGGTTTGAAATTCGGAAGGAAAATATGGATATTTTGGAAATCGGGGTTCTTTGAACCGAACCTAATTTCCGACCGAAAAACCGAAATACTATAATTGCAAGCTCCAAATGGTGGATTTTTGTGTTTGTAGTTGTTTTTATACTTAAATATTTGAAATATTTTATAACTTATGTATTAAAAAGTTTGATTTTATCATTAATGTTGCATATAATTGCATATTATTGTTTATATTAGGGGTGAAAAATCATTTAAAAGTGAGAAGATACAAGTAGCCTCTCAAATTCGGTTTTGTGTGCAAAATCGAACCGAATCGAATTATAATTCGGTTTAAACTGACCGAACCGAATCATAATTCAGTTCGAATTCGGTTTGAGGTTTGGGAGACTTCAGGGACCCGGTATTCATAATTTTGGTTCGGTCAAAACCGAACCGACCGAATGCGCCCTACTAGAGGCAAACTGAGAAAGCACAGTACACAATCCACCCAGCTTCAAAGTGCAAACACCCTAACCTAACCCCTCTAACGAACTTGAAACCTTTCAATCGAGATCTGTAAAAACATATCGAATATAGTAAAGTTAATAATAAGATATTTTGTGGTTAATTTGTAATTTAATCGTTTCATCCCAATAGAATCGTATGTTGATTTTGCAATCCAACTACATAAATTATGTAATTCCCTGAAATATCATCTTGTCAGATTATCAAAGATTTGTAGGAATACCTGATTTCACATCGATAGATCTTCTGAAACTTGAGACGGAATCTGTAGAGCGATATGTGACCGGAAGATACTTCGAAGAGCACGACCCGGGAGGTTCTGTGACCTTCCTCAACCAAGCCTCCTTAGTTTCTCTACGGGAGAGCTCTCATCTTCTTGATAGGGGAGAAGATGAGATTGTTTGGTCTTGGTGTATTAGGAACCACAACCTCTAAGTGGTTCCTTACGTACGAATCACCATTTGCCCCCATAAAACCCAAGGTGAGTTTCATTGGGTCTCCCATCCATTTAGTTACTTGTCAAAATAGGACATCTTTAAACTCCTGATTTCTATCACTTTCAATTAGCCCATATAACCAAATATTTCATATATCGTATCATTAGAATTTCCTAACACCGCTGATTCCCACTACAGGTTAGCTGGATGGATAAGACGAGCTGGGTCCGGTTGTGGAATGCTAATATTCACCCTAAGTTGAAAGTTTTCCTCTGGCAAGTGTTCTGCCGAATCCTTCTGACTACTGAAGCTTTGATCGAGAAAGGTATTGAAGTTTAGTCCCGTTGTCCTGTCTGCTGGGCAGAGAAGGAGATGTTGGAGCATCTTTTCTTCGATTTTCGGGTAGCCAGGGCCCTTTGGGATCAGGCCAGGCTGGAACATCTTGGTTAAGGCTTGCCTCGGCACACCTTTCCCCTCTTCTTGAAGAAGATGATGTCCATTATTAATCAGCCCCCTTTGTTCATGGCGGTGACAGCGATCCTTTGGCGTATTTGGCGGTCACGAAATTGGGTGGTCTTTGAAGGAAAGCAATTTGGGATATCAGTTCTGCTGCGTCAGTATCTTCAGCAATACCAAGAATGGGTGAGACTTCCGGTGGACCCGACTCTAGGTTTGCAGACTCCTTTCTCTCCTCCGGGTCCGACCGCTATGGTTCAGTCGGTTACCTGTATGTGGGATGGTGCAACCAAGCCTGGGTCACATGTGGCGGGAGGGATCGTCCTTAAGGATCTCGCAGGGAATATCCTGTTAGCTCGTGGTGTGCAGTTTCCGGGTCTTGATAGCCCTTTGGTGGCTGAGGCACTGACTCTTCGGGAAGCAGTGGCATGGTGTCTGGAGTTGGGCTTTCATGAGGTTTGTTTCCAAGGGGACGCTCAGAGTATCATTGACAAGGTGACTAAGAGGGATGTGCATGATGTTCAGATTGGGGCGATTCTGGAAGAGATAGTTGGGGTGTTTGCAAATCATAGTGCGCTTCAAATTCGTTTTGTAGGTCGGAGTAACAATAGGGTAGCCCATTAGGTGGCTAGAAAGGCCTTTGTTTTGTTTCCAACTACTAGTTGTTGTTATGATTTCCAGGCCTGACTGGCATCTAGGATGTAATATCTTTTGATCCAATCAATTTACATGATTATCTTTTGTAAAAAAAAAAAAAAAATTCCTAACACCGGAATCATCCATCCTCATTCCTTAGTCCCTACCTTGACCGACGATGGACTCAAAACCAATTTCCTCCGAGAACCATGCAATTTTGTGTCCATTATACATATATCTACATCACCTTTTCATATGGGGTCTGATTAAATTGTGGCTAAGCTTCTCTTTCAGTCTTAATTATTAATTAAAGTCTCTACAGTAATTTGGGTTGGCTGGTCCAATATCATCATTGATTTCCCATGTCTCCCGGCCGGACAAAAAACGACCTTTAGCTTGCAATCGGATTGCTTTAATTGCTCAACGCCGGTCACCACCATGTCTGTTATCTGAACAGAATCGTGGTCTTGTCCTCGGGGGACAATGGGTGGCCTGGGGGAAAGCTTAGTAAAGGCCAATTACATCCAATTTTGAGCATATATATAATACGTATTATCTGTCAAACATCTTAATCATATCTCCTAACGTGTGCATGCCCCCATTACAGGGCAAAATTTGACACTTACATATCACACAAACCAAACTCTAGTTAATGTGTGCTCTTATTTATTTCTGTTTTTTTTCGAAATTTGGTACATCTTATTTATGTACCTAATCATATTACATTTGGTTTGGTTTGGCTCTGATCATCCTTATAACCAAAACGGGCAGAAAGGGTGACCGACGAGCAGCCAAAACGGTTCACCGTTCGAGCCGATCGAACCGACCTACCGATTCTTGGCTTTTGACCGTCTAGTTAAAAAAAATGGAAACTGTTGGATCTAGAGATCAGTCGAGTGAGAGAAAGACGGGTCTACAGTTCGAGGGAGACGAAACAGAGAGAGGGATGGAGGGGAATGATCGTTTCTGGTGAAGGATTAGTAGAATCCCGAGCAAGCAGAAGGCGAAATGAAGGTATACTAGGTTGTTCGTCAAGAACAAAGAGGGAGAAACTGAAACTTGAAATTGATAGAGATAGGAGAGAGCGGTGCTGCAGGTTAGGGTTTGCAAAGAGGGATAAACTCATAAAAGTGAGCGGCCTCCATCTTTACATTTTCCTTTTAGGTACACGCGCTATGTACGTGTTAGGTTTACCTTTTGGGGATTTATAAAAGCCCAAATTCACTTGCATAGCCAAAACTTTGACGGTTGTGACAAATATAGCCACTTTTGAAGAAATACCAGAAATAGCCAGAATATTGAAAGTTCGATGACAAATATAGCCATTTCCGTTACATAGTTTGACGTCGTCAATGACACCGTTAGTCTATTTAACGGACAGATGATATGGCTGCCACCTCACCGTGTCTATCCTTCCCACCTCAGCATCCATTGACATGTAGGATGCCACGTCATTTTTAATGGGTAAAAAAAATATAAAAAATCAGGTGAATAGAATTCAAAATTTTATTTTTTCATTTCCCCAATTCCATCCCATTTAGGGTTTCCCACCTCGTCCTCCAAAACCTCCTCCTCGGCGACGTCTTCCCGGCCACCAAAACCTCCTCCTCGGCGGCGTCATCCCGGCCAACACCCTTACCTCCCTCGTCCAGCTCTGCGTCCTCGGCTTGCAAAACACCCCCCTCACCGGCCCCATCCCCGACCTCTCCAACCTCCTCAACCTCAAATCCCTCTTCCTCGACCACAACTACTTCTCCGCCCTCTTACCCCCTTCCCTCGCCTCCCTCCACCGCCTCCGCACTCTCGACCTATCCCACAACAGCCTCTCCGGCCCCTTGCCCCGCTAGCTCGCCTCCCTCGACCGATTGACCTCGCTCCGCCTCGAGTGGAATCGATTCAACGGCTCCATCCCGCCGATCAACCAGTCCTCCCTCCTCTCCTTCAACGTCTCCCACAATGTCGACCTGATTGGAGCGATTCCCCTCACCTCGACGTTCCTCTCTGTCACTTTCATCGTCCCCAACGTCGATGGTCTCCCTTCGCCGCCGTGAAATCGTTGTCCACTCTCTCCCTTCCCTCCTTTTCTTCCCGCAAAGGAGCCAGATTGGAGGGGGGGTCTAGATCTATTCATAGGCGTCAAACTCCTCTTTGTCGTCACGACGACCAGTGATGGGTGGAGGCGATCCTCGAGATAGTTGATTTTGACGCCGGGATCTGAATGTTGCAGTGGTGAGGTCCGACTGACGACGACGACTGCGGTTGAAACCCAAACTCGATTCCGCCTCTACCGTCAAGCCCCAATCATCGATTCTGTCCGTCGGTTGCAACCCAAAACTCAATAAGGCTTGTCGCAGGCAGAGCAAGCAAGATAGGCTTGCAATGGACAATAGAGACTTCGATGGCCATCTCTGGAAATATGGAACAGAGTTGGGTGGATCCAGAAAGCGATATCGGCGGTGAGATCGAAGAGACATTGAGAGAAGGATGAAGAAGACGAAGAGGGGTTCTGGAAGGTCGTCGATTTCAGTCGGGATGAAGAAGACTAAGAAGGAATCGACTACCAACGCCAATCTGGAGAGGGGGAGCGTCGTAGTTCGTCGTCGGAGAAGATGGGTTCTTCTCTGGTGGTCGAATCGGGGTAAGGGAAGGGGAAAATGAAAAGGTTGGAGAGTGACTGAGGCGTAAAAGATGGATTTACAGTTTCGTTTTTTTTTCACGTGAAATTCACTTGGTTGGGTAAAAAATCCACGTCGGATGGTCCGTTTGTCCAGTCAGCACTCTAGCTAACACCGTCAAACAATTGGACGGAAGTGGCTATTTATGGTATTTCTCCAAAAGTGGCTATATTTGGCAAAAACGTCAAAATTTTGGCTATACAGGTGAATTTGGCCTTTATAAAATTAAAAGGTTTCTATTTTATCACTTTTAATGTAGTAATTACTTTCTACCAAAAAAAAAGTAGTAATTATTAATTTTATTTTAAATTGTTCACAAGTAATGTACTCATGTGCTAAAACGTGTGTTATGTATAAAATTCTTATTTTTTAGAAACCGATTCATTGATGGTTTTATAATAATCTAGTACCAGTAAATTAATAAAGTGCTAACCTGGTTCATACAACGATTTGGTTCTAAATTCTAACAACATTGCTTTCCATACATGTAGGTGGTAATGAGCAACGGGATAAAGACAATGTTCAAGAAAAGGCCGGAGACGATAAATAAGTTCAAAGTTGGGTAGGCCCATCGAAGAAAATATAACAGCACAATTAATAAAATTAATTAACCGTATGAAATAAACCCACATAATCACCTATAGAGGTTCCATAATGGTAGAAATTACACCATATAATGGGGAAACAATTGGTGACTATTAACATAAGAAAGGCGGTGGGGGAAAAGTTAATCAAAACTCAAAACTACTCTCCTAAACCCTCTACATATGTTTTTGTTCCCCCTAAATTTGTCCTCTTGTGTGTGTATATAATATATATACAATTAAGAAACCATGATTATTCTCATCATGTCAATGATCTGTCCATGCAAATAAGAAATAATTCAATTGTAGCAAAAACCATATGTATTTGACTATTTGTCGTCGTGGTTTTGTGCTCGATCCACGAACTAAGCGGCTCATCGGTGGCGGTCCCCCCTCCCTAACACAATTAATTAATCTTAATTAAAGTTAATCATCACCGCCTTCATCACTTTATCGTACTAATCTTCGAGGTTGCCTAACCAACTCACTAAGCTGGAAAGAAAGCTGCTTGAGATCTATGGTTGAATCTTTTTGCATAGCATGAATTGTTGGATTCAGTTGGTTAATCGCATGATATTATAGATGTATAGTCGTTAATGATGGAAAAGTATGAAGAGAGAAAAATACAAAATGCTTAAGAGTAATTAAACTATACACAAAAAAATTACGTGGTTCAGTAAAAATTTTGTTCGTTAAATTACTTGATTGAAGGAGGCTCGGACAATATGAAATCTGCATAAGAGTAACTTGCAATAAGTCGGATAAAAAAGACTAAAAAAGACTAATGCGCTAAATATATGTAGCTTTAATTGATGGAAGCAATATTTATACTCAGTAATAAGTAAATAAACGTATCATTCTCATAAGAATATATGGGTCAGACTCGTATGCTCCCGGTACAAGTCATACTCCAGATTCCCTACACCGTCGATCTAATCTAATGTACATTATTAATTTTAATTAAATTAACTATTGATTTATAATTATAATTACCAACTACACCCATTCAATTCTTATACGTGCACTATAGCCCCATAATTAAAATACCTTGATCTCTCCACTTCGCCCCGTACATCACGAGCCTCCACTACAAAACCTCTCAGAACTTATGAAGTAGTCCATCTTCATTCAACCCAATTAGCATCACAAGTCGTCTTCTTCCTATTCCTGGTTTCCTCCCCGACATATCCCACCACCAATTAACATCACAACTTCTAAAGCAATCTATTTATCCAAAAAAAAGACCAAATTGCTAAATCCGGTGGAGGATTTTGTGTGTCTATTAGTGCCTCCAAAGCTTGGAATTTTATTTCAATGGTGGTAGTTGAGCCAAAAATTCAGGAAACAGGAAGAGCAAAAGAAAGATCTAATGACGGTTTCCGCAAATCACAATTCTCACACCCCCGTCGAATTTTCTGCCTAGGTCAGCAAAGCTAAATCTACTAGTTGCATCACCTCTCCACCTTCCACTGCCTTAATGTTCCTCCCCCACGGAGAAACCTCGACCAGGAACTTTGCCGTCTTCGTCTCTTGATTCGAGGCCTGGTTCTTAAAAGTATTTATCACTCCCAAAAAATTTGGATATCGCGTTCACTAATTGAATATTGTCTGTAGATTGGAAGGAAGATATGATAGGATGTGGTGTAGGCTTGCGATTGGTAGTTTGAATTATCGGTGATCTTTGCTAGAGTACGAGTTAGGTCTCGTTTAACGCGAGCTTATTTGATTCGGAATTAGAGAGCCCACTTTTGTGAACTGTCGCCCTAACTCGTCCGTCAAATGTTATTCATCTCACCGTCGATGGAATTGACTCTGCGGATGCCAATTGTTCGTTGCTGGTAAAATGTCGCAGAAATTTGAAGGGGATTCAGGCAGATGATTATTATAGTTTGGAAGCTTTGAAGGTAGAAGATCAAGAGATGAAATAATTAGTTCTACTTCTTAGCTTCTTGTATCTGTTGGAACCTTTGAAGTTTGAAGGTTAGAAGATGAACAAATTTTCTGGTGGTGAGAGTGTGCGTACAGAATAAGGAGAAGGAAGAAGATGAGTTGTCATTTTGTTAAAGAAAAACAAAATTAAGCTATATGGATTCTGTATTTTCAAAAGTGATCTAAACAACAAAGTTACGGTGAAAATTATTGGGGACTATTTTGCATACATAAATATTTAACGGGTGGAGTTAGTAATTATGAATGTAGATTAATAATTAATTTTCTCAGAATCAATAGGGGCCATCCGATTAAATCAACGGTGTAGAGATCTGGAGCATGCTATGTACCGGGAGCACACGAGTCGTATCCATATATTAGATTCATTATTGAACACGTGCTATCTAACTCGGATGAAGGGCTAAATTGCAAGTTTGGTCACTTGAATTACTAGTAAAGTTTACGTTAGCCACTAGATTACTTTATTCCATCCGTAGTCACTTAAATTAGGTTAACAGTTCAAATTTGGTCACTGGCCGTTAGTCTCCGTTAACTTTCGCTGATGTGGCAGTCAACTTTAATAGTTGATCGTTAAATGTGTTGCGTGGCAAATGAAAAATAATTACAAAAATGAAAATTAATATTTTTAACTTCCACCTCTGTTTAACAATATATTGAAATTAATTATAGTTACTAAAATAATAATGTAATCCTTTGAGAAATAAAAAAATTAACCTTCTTCAAAGTTGCAGACCGGCGGTCGATCCATCTCCTTGAGGCCGATCTTGGTGAACAAGCTGAACTTCCTAGAACCCTTTCCGGCCGATCTCTTCTTCTCCCTCATTTTTTCAAACAATATCAAAAACCAATCTCCGTCAAAATACCCATCCAAGAACGCCTTCCCCCCTCGCCATCGTTGGACTCGCATGCTCTGAAAGTGCATTCCGCATGCAACCGTGAGGATAAGGAGAGGGCAAATTGGTTGAATGAATTTATCGGGAGATTGGTGAAGTCCAAGAGATGGCAATAGTACAATTCATGAAAATATGGAAACGAACTGTCCTAATTAGAGCCCAACGCAACAACTATAGAAGTAATCCTCCAAATTCATCTCGAAACCCAAACAAATTTCTGGTTGCCTGCGAATCGGAGGAGAATAGAGGGAGAAGCTTGTCGAAGGAGGAGGTGGGTTAGAGGTGGCCGAGGGATGAGGCTCTGCTGCTGGTAAATCTGAGGTGGAATCCACAACCACAACAACAAGAAGGACGTATCCGTACTTTCACCAGCTGAGCATCTTGTACGGCTTGGTGGCGGCAGAGCAAAAGTCGTAAGAGTGGGAGGAGAGGCGGGAGATGAAGTTGCGAAAGGATGGCGTAGCTATTGGATGCTAGGCTTCGGCTGGGACGTGGGGTTCGTGACCGGGAGAAGGGGAGCGGCCATTTTTTTCTGACGACGATGCGGGTTCAAGAAACTGAGAGATCGGCAGTGGTTGATGGTGATTACCATGGTCGAGCGATTAGGGATCTTATGGCTAGAAATCTGGGTTGAGCGATGATGAGAAAGGCGGCGAGATTAGTCCATGAGATCTAGGAAATTAAAATAAATATTTTTTATTTTTAATCTTAGTGATGATGAGGTGGAAATTATAAATTATAAATTATTTATTTTTTACTTGCCACATCACACTTTTAATGGTCAACTATCAGAGTTGACTGCCACATCAGCAAAAGTTAATGGAAACTAACAGCCAATGACCAAACTTAAACTGTTAACCTAATTTAAGTGACTACGGATGGAATAAAGTAATTTTAGTGGCTAACGTGAAATTTACTAGTAATTCAAATGACCAAACTTGCAATTTAACCTGTGATGAAGTATGTATTTACAAAAAAAATGCATGAACCGGATTCCGGAAACCAAGAGATTTGATCATTCATTCTAGCTAATAAGATAAATCAAGCAACGAGGATAGTAAAAAAAAAAAAGGCGGAGGGGATGGAGATCTCTCTCCCCGTTCTCCTTCGGCTCCTGAGAAGGCTAGGCCTCCTTCTGTTCACCTCGATTCTTTCTGTCTTCCTGGTTAGCATCAGTAATCAACAGCAGCAAGGGTGCCGCAAATCGAAAAACAGGGGCGCTCAATTGAATTTGGATGCAGAGGTTTTGCAAAATAAGGACTCTGCTTTCCCCTCCTCCGGCGCCGGCTTTCATACCACGGCAGATTGGGCGGTTTGTACCTATGGGCGAAGATCCATAGAGGTAAAACTGATGATGAGTAGAAATTCGACT